TATTTTAATCACTAATGATATTCATCATAAAGATAAATTTATAAATAGTTGGTTGCATGCATGTATATGCATATACACACATATATATATATATAGAACACGAATTATATATCCTTCTAACCTTAATATGCAAATTAGCCGCGACGAAATAATCGCCATCGACTGTTAACGTTCCGCTTTCCACCGTCGTATATTTTGCAGCATTCCCGTTAAACGTCAACGTGGGCATATGTGCGTGATCACCAATAAAAGTAACGAACTTTTTCCCCCTCTCCATCTTAATCTTCTCCGAATACACACCTGGTCCAATAAACACAATAACCCTTTGCTCGTTTTTAATCGGGATGGTCCGGACAGCTTCATTGATGGTCCTAAAATCGCCACCTCCCTCCTTCATAACTCGTATTACCCTGGGATTGGCCTCGGCGGCCTCTAGGGCGGGATCTAACGTCCCTTTTCGAGTGGCTAGAGGTTTTACGTTGTGTTTGAACCACCTCTGCACTTGGGTTCGGTCTTGAGGAATTGGTACCCGATCATCTGAAATGGTTGGAGGAAGAATGATCACGATTGTGTTCAAGACAATCAGCAACAAATATTTCACCATTTTTCCTCCGTTTTTATTAATGGGTACGTTTTGATCGTAAATTTGTGATATCCGGTGTGTATATATATATATAGATATAGATATAGAGAGAGAGAGAGATAGAGAGAGAGAGAGAGAGAGAGAGAGAGTGGAGGAATATATGATTTGAAGGGTGATGAATAAATAGATGGATTCAATTCAGTCGATCGATCGTTTGTGCCCTTTTTGATATTTGTGGTGACAAATTTTGGTATAATTATCGAATTTTCCCACCTTTAATTTTTAATTAAAAGAAAGTTGAGATTGATTTATTACTTTTATTCGATTATTTTTATGTCAATACATATTCATGAATATATATATAATGTATGTTTTGTATTATACACGACTTTAATTTGGTTATGGTGGTAAAAACATTACGTAATTATGTACGATGAAAGCCTCGTCAAAAGGGATATTTTTATATATTAGTGACGTAAAAGTGTTAAAAAAGAAAATACATGAGATAAACGAGTACAAGATCTGATCTAGAAAAATGAAGTACACCAAAAATATAGCAAGATTAATACAAGATTTGGACTGAAATTAAATCAACTAAAACCAGATGAATCGTTCAACAAAGATCTAGAGAGAAGAACGTAACGGAAAACTCAAAAGATCTCGTTTAAACAACTTATTTATGTTTACAAAGTTTTCACTTAGCCCCTTGGAGATATATTAATTTGCTCTTTTGGAATATTCATCTGCAGTCCAAACCAATAAACCACTTCAATTTTAGCCACATATTTTTTGAAGTTTTGCACTTTAACCCTGATAACTCTTACAAATTAGACTACAAAAGATAAAAACACCTAATAAATGCATGATGTCAAGATTGAAAATATATATGTACGACTCTAATCAGAACTAGCTAGTGAAAGAAACCTATAATATAATGTCAGAAAATAAAAATAAATCGTCAATTGCAAACGATGTGGCTTATGATAGGTATAGCAGTCATGCAAACTATTGTTACTAACATACCTATCATAAAACCTAAAGAAAATTCCTATCAATGAGGAAAAGCACGTACAAAACCATAAACAATAGGATATTGGTCGAAAATGTCAGTTGATAGTTTAAAAATAAAAATATATTGCAACTTCTTTTTGCTGTGATGCAAATAGCTAGAACATTTTGCAACCAATTGATGGTTATAAACTACAAAAGCATACTATTCGTTTGTAATCCTTCGCTTAAGAACACATAACGACGGGTTATTAACGAAAATTATCCGTCAAAAAAGAATTGGCCAGTTAAAGTTACCAATAAATAAAAAATAATTAGTGACGGAGACATCTACCGATAATTAAAAATAGTCGCTAAAGTAGTTTTTTTTATATAAATAAATCGAGCATGCTAATCATAAAAAAGATGTCGTATATCCGAAGTCGTATTAGTGACGATTAACAAGGGTATGTCGCCGCTAACATAAATTTTGCTACTAGTGGAAGGTGTAGTTACCATAAGAAAAATGTACATACATTACATATGTTCTTTATGCATAAAAATCTATGATTAAAAAGAGTACTTTTTCGTATAAAAAGATTAGTTTATAAGACACTTTTTAAAAGTATCATGCAAAATAGTTAATACGATATTTTATTTCAAAAACGTCTTAAAAAGTTCAAAAACGTTCTATAAAGTTATTATAATACTTTTAGATATAATGCTTTATAATTTAGTCTTATGAATGAAAGTTGTATAAAGTATTCTATTATTAAGCTTAGACATTTTAAGCGTCATAAAAAGTCAAATTTGTTGTAGTGATTAGGTTGACTGGTTGTCATCATTCTTTTAAATAAATATGTGTCTTCAATTTGTGGAGACTTATAAATGTTGTTCATCGCTTGATATACATATAATAAATAACTAATATTGAATTGTTGATATACATTTACATACAACAAAAGATTTAATAGTGCTCTTAAAAGATAAAAATGTGTAGTTTTTACCGCCTACTACTTCTAAGGGGTTGTTTTTCAAATGATTAAACCGGTAAACGCTTATCAGCAAGAGACATCATTCTTACTAATCTTATCATGTAACATTCTTGGCCATCAAAATGGATTATATATACATATTGTCTTACCTTGTTTGTGGCTTGGACTATTTAAGCCTCGAACAACACTGTCGGCCATATCTACCTAGTGAAACCTCTGATCACTGCCCCTAGCTAATTTAAAGGCATACGCTTGATTGTCAAGGGTACAACACCTACAATTTTCAAAAGGAAAAATCACCAAAACGATAAAAATATACTTGATGTATTAATGAAATAGCCAACTTTTTCTGAAATTGCCAAAATGACCACACGGATCAACCCCGGAGGGCATGATTTGACCTGGGGGCGATCCTCTTCATGTTTGACCAAATAGTATAAAAAAATATTAAAAAATTAATTTGGTGGGGCACACATGTATCACCTTTAGGAAACAAACACTATTTGCCTCAATAATACCCTCAGGGGCGATCCATGCATTTTAATTTTTTTTTTACCACTATTTCACTACCAAAATGACCCTCTTTGGAAATCCGCCGGAAATTGGGTTCATGAAAGTCCAATACGGTTCATTAAAATCTAATATGGTTCATGAAAGCCCAATACGTTCCACCAAATCCCAATACGTTCAACTAACATCCATTAAAGTCCAATATAATCGTTAAAACACAATACGATTCATTAAAGCCCAACTAACACCCATTAAAGCCCAATAGAACCGATAAAGCCCAATACGATCCATTATTTAAAGAAAAAATTGTAAAAATGAGAAACAATAATAATTCCGCCGGAAGTACTCGGAAAGCCGCTGGAAAAATTTAAAATGATTTTTTTTAATTAATTTTCCGCCGGAAATCCGCCGGAAATATGTAATTTTTTTAAAAGATATTTAAATATCCGCCGGAAAATGTTAATTTTTTTAAAATTATTTAATTATCCGCCGGAAATCCGTCAGAAAATTGTTAATTCTTTTTCTTAGAAAATATTTAATTATCCGCCGGAAATGGTTAATTATTTTTTTAAAATTATATAATTATCCGCCGAAAAATTGTTAATTCTTTTTTTTTATTATTATTTAATTATCCACCGGAAATCCGCCGGAAAATTCTTTATTCTTTTTTTAAGAAATTTTTTAATCATCCGCCGGAAATCCGCCGGAAAATTTTTAGTTCTTTTTTTAAAGGAAATATTTAAATATCCGTCAGAAATCCGCCGGTAAAATGTTGTAATTAGATGCAAATTCAAGATTAAACTGAGTATTTAATAAATCCGCCGGAAATCCTTGGTAGTCAACAAAACGTTGACTTTTTTGGTGTCCTACGGAAATCTGCCGGAAATCCCTCGGTAAATTACCGGCGGATTTCGTCCGCCGGAAATGGTCAGTTTTCTAGTAGTGTTTGTCTTTTAGTATATATCGATTAAGGGGTGTTTTTAATAAATAGAAGACGATTTAGACTGTTTTTTTTTTTTATCTTTTTAGAACCAAATGTCATGATTTTAGTTTATAAAATAAAACACTTTTACTCTTACAACCCGTAAACACAATCTATCGTGACAACTCTTATAAATATATGATTGTACATGAAGATTTCTAATTTTTACCATTTTTTTTAAAGTGCATAAATTAACCAACGAATGTTGTTATATTTTTTCTTATAAGAAATGTTGATATTCAATAATAATTGTGGAGACGAAAAATATTATTTGTATCTGATTTGGGGGACAAAAATCAAATATTATTTGTTTTAGGGATTGTGACGGTAGATTGTGTTTACGGGTTGTGAGAATACAAATGTTTTATTTTATACAGTAAAATCATGACATTTGGTCCTAAAACAGTTAAAAACCCACTTTAAATCGTCCCTTATTTATTAAAAACACCCCTTAATTGTCAAATCGATTTAGACACTAAAAGAAGAAATAACGGTCAAACTACGTAAATCAGATATAATATATGATTTTGTCCTCCAAATCAGATACAAATAAACTTTTTCGTGTCCACAATTATTATAGAATATCAACATTCGATGTTTATAAAAAAAAAATATTTCCTATAAGAAAATATAACAACATTCGGTTAATTTATGCATTTCAAAAAAATTGGTAAAAATTAGAAATTTTTACGTACAATCATATTTTTTAAGGGTTGTCACGGTAGATTGTGTTTCGGGTTGTGAGAGTATAAGTGTTTTATTTTATAAACTAAAACATGCATTTGGTCCTAAAAAGGTAAAAAAAAATTGTTTAAACCGTCTCTTATTTATTAAAAACACCCCTTAATCGATATACACTAAAGAACAAAATAGTGGTAAAAGAAATGCATGGATTGCCCCCGGGGGTAGATCTGGTGAGGTAGAGATCGCCCCCGGGAGTAGATCCCCATTATCGAGGCAAATAGTGTTGATTTCCTAAAGGTGATACATGTGAGCCCCACCAAATTAATTTTTTAAATATTTGTTTTGTACTATTTGGTCAAACATGAAGAGGATCGCCTCCCATGGTCAAACAATGCCCCCGGGGACGATTGGTGTGGTCATTTTGGCAATTTTGGAAAAAAATTGGCTATTTCGTTAATATATCAAGTATATTTTGGTCATTTTGGTATTTTTTCTTTCAAAATACCCTTTGACATTTTGACTAAGGGTTGCTTTTTTTTACCTCTTAACAATTTTGTTAAGAGAGATTCTCTGAATTGTTAAGGTGTAAATCTTGTTTGACAAAACAAAAGTCTGCCTTTTAATGGTTCAAAAATCATCTGAAGGATTTTGTATCTTGGGACTTCCTTAACCATTCAACACCCTAATTTCATTCTAAAAAGTTACCAAACAATATAGGAATCTTCTTTTGATACCCATGAAATCATGAAATTGTGATAACCATGAGAACTTATGCATCTTGTGTTATTTTATATATATATTTTTTCATTTAAGACTAGGATTTTGATATTGATTAATTGTTATGATTGAATTTTAGAGTATTA